TTAAGCAGAATGTTAAGCCACTTAAGGTGTGACGTATTACATCGATGCTTATCGACGTAATAATTGGTAAATGGTCGATGCCTATAGTATCGACTGTTCAAAAAAACATTACAGAACAGAATCTCAAACAGAACCTCTAACACTGTAGGAAACAGAATGTAAATACTGTCTCCGGGTTTTCTCCGCGATTGCTGGTCTCCGGGTTTTCTCCGGGTTACGAAGCCTCCGGGTTCGAGCTCCCTAAGCGGTTTCAGCAAGTGCAACGGTCCATTCCCCACAACCACAAACGGTCTAATTTCATCCCCACAAAGGCCAGCACCATGAAGCCCGTCAGGCGCAGAAAGAAGCCCACCAAGATGTCCAACATCAAAGCAAGGATCAACGATCCCCCAAGGGGCCCCACGCCAGAACAACTGCGTGCTTTTGCCGAGGTCAACGCCGCCATCCGCGAGAGCAAGCGGCAAAGAAATGCGGTGCGCAGCGGTACCGCATCTCGCGTACCTACTAAATATGTATGTGACTTGTCTAGACAATGCTCCGAGAGCGACAGGGCCACTGGCATTCCCACCCATCCCGCCAGTGCAAGACAGCAATTCCAGCGACAGCGACAGCGACGACGAGCCTTCCAAGCCGTTTGCTGCACGCAACGTTGACTAGTTAACGACTTGGCTAGTATCGTTTAGAAGAGTTTAGAAAGGACGCAAGAGCTTGACGGGGTCGAGGGACAACGTGCACAGACGCATCTCTCACTCCTTTCTCCATGCTTCCACAAATACCGTCTGACTCCTCACGCCAAAACTGCCCAGTAGGCAGAGTCTCGAGGGGCACATCATGTCCAACGCAGTCGAGTGGACGTTGAAGTGTGTCCTTCAAGTAGCCAAAATTGTTCGAGTAGGTCCTTGCTTGACCCTCTGCGGACGCTATCTCACATGAAGTAGGATTCAAAGCGAGATAGATGGGCTACGCCTTCTCGCACGCCCTCGCCATCCCAAAACATCGTGTCTGGGAATCTTTCGCAGGGCCACGTAGGTTCATAAGACAACGAGTGTCGAGTAGGACAAGTGAGACCGGCTCCAGTGGTCGCGGCTTTGGCGTTGGAGGCCGCCGCAGCAATAGTCCCAGATTGACCGCCTGTCGACAAGCATATTTCTTGCCGGTCGACGTCGTCCATGTTGGGCTGTTGGGCAAGCTGCCATCGTCGGACTTGAACGCTCGCGCAAGCAGGAGCGGCGACCGCACGTCCACGCACGGCGAGAGTGAGAGGAACGTCTGCCCGAGTCTTTTGGACGACGCTTTCGAACCTTCCTGCCGCTGCACTCACGGTCAGGCAGCTCCTATGACACGATTGCAGTCTGGCACTTAGCTCGTCGCACCGTGGTGCCATCGCCCAGCCATCGCTTGCCGCGTCGTTCCACTCTCTCTCTGCGATTATTACCTTGTCCCTCCATAATCCCAAGCCAAGACCACTTATGCTCCTCACTCGACGTACCAGCGCAAGTCCATAAAATTGAAGTGCTGTTGTACACAGCTCGTCGGCAAACTCCTACCTAAAGCGAGTACTCGTATTTAACATGATAAGGGCAGCGTGAATATTGATCTGAAATTTAGTTTTCGTTGTCGACGGTGGCCATGTGCAAGACGAGGTCGACGAGGCGGTTCGAGTAGCCCCACTCGTTGTCGTACCACGACACGAGCTTGACAAAGTTGTCGTTGAGCGCGATGCACGCGTTGGCGTCAAAGATGGACGAGCGCTTGTCCGAGACAAAGTCCTGCGACACGACTTCGTCCTCCGTGTAGCCGAGGATGCCGGCCATGGAGCCTTCGGACGCTTCCTTGACGGCCGCCTTGATGGCCGCCATGGACGCGCCGCGTTCGAGACGCACCGTGAGATCGACGACCGAGACGTCGGGCACCGGCACGCGGAACGCCATGCCCGTGAGCTTGCCGTTGAGTTCCGGCAGCACCTTGCCGACGGCCTTGGCCGCGCCCGTCGACGCCGG